GTATAACCTCTTTTTAAGTTTTGTGGATATTATACATGGTTATGCTGAGGACATGTCGGCCGGTTTCCACTGGAAATGCCTTTTGGTTAAACTGTCTGCGAGGAATTTGCATTTGCACTGTTAAATTTTTATATAGCTTTAATGCAGATAAAAAACAGCTGCTTGTTTAAGTGAAAATAATTGATTGTTGGGGTTCTTTGCACTAATTAAGTTGTGGAGTTGTAAAGTATTTTGTCTAGTGTCAATTATATCGTCAGTTATATCGTTATCGCAAATTTTCAAATATGTATCGTGATAAATATTTTTGGTCATATAGGCCTGCTCTAGTAATAATGCCTGGTTACCATCATGAGGTAGCTGACGGACTGGTGAAGAAATGAACCAGGACTTTTAATCGCTACATGGATCATTTTAGTTCAGCTTTCCTTTTGTTATATTTCTTTAAGAGTTCAAAATGTGTTAATTACATCAATAAAATGTAATTTTCTCTGTAGCACTTCATGGATTTCAAAAGCAACACACCTTAGTTGTTCACACAAAGCATAAAGGTAAAAAACAATATATACAGTGTGATTTTCTTTTTTATTTAAAATGTCAAAAAGTATTTGCGGCTCCCAGTGTTTTCTTTTGCGTGGAAACCGGGTCCAAATGGCTCTTTAGGTCTTAAAGGTTGCTGACCCCTGCCCTAGACGTTTACTCAGATCCTAACAGTACTGTCCAGTCTCATGATTATGACAAAATTCTGATAAATTTAGGCTGACTTTAAGAAAATATGGGGGTTTAATTTAAAATCTCTTCATTCATAGCAACATAGTCCGTGTTGGGAAGGTTACTTTTAAAATGTATTCCACTGCAGATTACAGATTACATGCCCCAAAATGTATTTTGTAACATATTCTGTTACGTTACTCAATGAGAGTAACGTATTCTGAATACTTTGGATTACTTCATGTACTGTCATTCTTTTTACAACTACATGAATGTCCTATTGCTGTGTGATTTATTACTATTACCGAAGGCTACTCACCACCAAGCTAATATTGTTAGTCGGCATTAGCCTGGTTAGTTCATAGACCGCAGACTGTTAGACTTGATGGACAGCATTAACAACCTGCTAGCTGCAAATAATCATGTGCAGTTCTGAAAGCCATACCAACTAGATTTTTAAATCGTAATATAAAATGAGTAACAGTAGGGTGCACATTAGGTAAGGCTGCACTTTTTACAGTGATTCCATATAGAAAACTATTTCTGTGTCAGTTATATGTTTTCTTTTTGTCTGCTTTCAGAACTGCACATGATTATTTGCAGCTAGCAGGTTGTAATGCAGCCTTCAGTAATAGTAATAACACAGCAATAGTACATTGAAGATACTTAAGTGGCAAATAACCCAGATAACTACCACAACTAAAACAAGGTAGTTGCAGTAGACCAGAGGTTCCCAAAGTGTGGGGCCTGCAGAGCCATTGCAGGGGGGGTGCGGTATGAAAAGAAAAAAGGACTCTTAGACACTGCTGGCATAACTGACATGTTTTTGACGGGGCTCCCACACAAACGCAAAGCAGGAGATGAAGAATCGCCAACTATGTTTCCAAACCAACTTCCTTCCACACCAAAGACTAGAAAATATGGTGAAGCAAATCTTCCCTTTGGCTTCACCTGCACAAGTGCCGAGGTAGGTCTCCCTGCAGGATTGGGTTTCCCTGTGAGCAGCGCTGGGCTGTTCAAATCACGGACAAACAGGATCCCACATTCTTGATCTTTAGTTCACAAACACTTGTTGTAATGACTAACTGCTCCTGACATGTTGGAGATGTTTGCTCTTTATACAGTAAAGTTACAGCAGGATACAAATAACATCAGGCTGATCCTGCCACGATTTGTTCCCCCGGTTCAAATCACGGACAAACAGGATCCCACAGCTGTTTATGTTTTTAAACCCATTTTGCACAGAGAGGCATTTTTTGAAAAATGTATTGATATCAATGTTGAATATTATTACACAGGAAAAAACAACACGTAAAATAATCACACCGTGACGCCTCTGCCTTTGTAAATGGAGGGACAGTGACTGCGTGTAAAACCTGCAGACAGTCAGATTAACAGTATTTTGTCTCTATCTGCCATTCTGCAGTTCATCTCATGTAAACAATAACGTGGCCACAGCGTGACGTGAAAAAAGGCTCATACCTTTGATGTTGTGTGACGAACTCTGTATTCCTCGTCCACACGTAAACGCAAAAAAGGAGATTTTCTTGTAAAACAAAGGGGGGCCTAGCAAACAAAGTTTGGGAACCACTGCAGTAGGCTAACGTTAGCTTTTAAAAGGAACTTACTGTCAGATGTTTCTTTAGGTTGGAGTCTTTTGATGCTGAGGGCAGCTTGGCTGCTGGCAAACAGAGTTTGCATTGCACGGTCAGAGTTCATCTCTTTCTTCTTTAAATGTCAAACGGTGTCGGAATTTCCAAATAAGAAATACATTTCCTGCCCGTGCACTGCTGGCTCCGGGTCCATAGTGTAACTGATGCCAACGCGTTACTGTAATCCGATTACTTTTTTCAAGTAACGAATAAAGTAAGGGACATTAGCGTCCGCTGTTCACTGCGCAGGAAGAAAACGTCTTTTTACAGCGAAAAAAAACCCTAAACTTCCGCGCAAGCACCGAGTGCGCTGCCACGGGAATGATGTAATTAACAGAGAAACTCCCGGATTCTTCCACTGACATGAGGGCTGCGCCACACCTGCACCAGGGCAAACCTCCGCCTGCCCCACCCCTGCTAAACATGTGAAAATAGAGCAACAGGACCGCTGAGTCTGTGACTGTATTTATTTTCTGCTGTGTTTTACTTGCATCTATTTGAAAGACTGAGTGTAAACACAAACTATTTTATTTTATGTGCTGGAATCTGAAGAAAATAGGTTTAAATGTTGAACACATTTCTCCCAGTCAGAGAATGTTGCATATAATTTAATGTTTGCTTGATGCATAAAGTTAAAAGACTAAAACTACACAGCCTAACATATGAAACAGGAAGTGACCGCCATGTTATCCATTTATTTCACCAAAGTAACTGTATTCTAATTATCACCTATTTTAAGCGGTAACTGCAACAGAAAACAGTTACTTATCTTTTATATTTTAAACATGTAACTTCGGTACATGTATTCCGTTACTCCCCAACACTGAACATAGTGCATGTTGAAAATGTATACTGCTGGAGTAGAGTAGTACCATGCAATGCAATGGGTCATCTCTAAAGATCCATACCTGAACAGTTAGAAATGAGAAAAGATTAGGATGTTCTGACTAAAGCTGTTAGGAACATCAAACTAATTTATCAATCCATGTGTGCTTTTAGATTTCACCAAACATATAGAATTGGAGTTTATTTTCCTGGTGATTTGGTACACACTTACGTTAACTAAACGGTGGGTTCTGAAGTTTTAACAGTATCAGTACAGATTTTGAAGAGCGAAATACTGTTTGAATATCAAAAAATGAAAATGTAGAAAGAAAACAAAATAGCTCGAACATCTTATGACACAGTACACCACCATCAAAGACTGACCCAGAGTCTCAAACGAAGAAGAGAAAGAAACAAAGGACCCAGGAAGGAAAAGAAGTCCCAGCATTTTATATTTTCTACCGACTGGCACAGCATATGAAACACACAATATTTAACATGTAACCAGAAACCAGCATAAATGTGGGCAACAACGTCAGCCACTTTTTAAATTAATTACCTCGTAGAAGTCTATTAGGCATCTTGAGGTGGCTGTCATGATGAATTGGTGTTATATAAACTGAACTTGAATTGAACTGAACTGACTTTTTGTGACTTGATTTGTTAAACGTTCTTTTTTCATTTCATTTTCATGCT